CCCCACACTGACACGCGCCGCCCCCCGCCCCAAATCCACAGCCCTCCTCACCCCTAAGATGCCTCCAGCCTATGCACCTCACTGGGCGCCCCACCACCATCCCCACACACACCCAGGTTTTTGGCACCATCACAGCAGATCCCCCATTAACCTCCTCCCTATATATATATAAAAATAGTATATATACACTATATATACTCTCAATAAAAGCCACATTGACAAGACAAACCACTTGCTTTGGTACAGAAAGCTATCTTTCGATACAGACCACAGCATGGTGTAATCACCTGCAGCCCATCACCCCTGCTCCAGCAGTGGAGGGCCGGATCTTTCATGGGTATTGCAGTCCAGGTGCACAGCCGCGGTGTCTGGCACGTGTTTGTGCAGAGCACCCTGAGGCGTGGATGCCCTTTCCAGGGGCCGGTGTCCACCACTGCAGACCAATGTGCTTTCTGGTGGCTGTTTGTCCCTTTGTGTCATGCTGGGGTGATGTCAAGGCTCAGCCTGTCCCATTCATGGCCGGCGCTTGAATACACAAAGGCTGAGACACCTATTTTCGGCAAAGCACAACCTCTCTCCTGCCCGTTTTCCCCTTCGAGCCTGCAAAAGGCTCCTTCCATGCAAAGCCCAGGCAGCTCCGGGGGCTGTCCCATCCCACCCGTGGCCCAGGAGGGACATCCACGCAACTCCGAAGCCAGCTGGGGGCAAAGAGCAGACCCGGCGTGGTGTCACCCTGCCATGGCTGGCTGCATCACTGCTTCTCCCCTTCTCCCCTGCATCCCTTTTCCCCTCAATGCACCAGGCAAGGGCACCCAAGTCTGGCGTGGGGAAAAGGGGTCCCCCTCCTCTTTACAGGGCTGTACTTGGCGTTTTGTGCCAGCAGGGCTTTGTGGCTGTCTCCCATGCTAACAGCACTTGTGCGTGACGCACCGAGGCCACCTTGTCCTGGGGAGGCTTTTCTCAGGTGCCCATCTCCATGGCTTCAAACCAACCTGACCCCTCTTGACCCCTGTTCCTGAGCAGAGAGGGGTTTGATTAGGAAATATGTCCTTCACCATCAATGCAGCCCATTACAGTTGTCTATCAATCTCGCAGTCTTCCCATTCATCTGCTTGCGGAATCCTTGCCTACCTGTCTATCAATCATTTGGACGTCCGTCAGCCTGTCCATCAATCACTGAGCCATCAGCCCCCCCCCAC